ACGTACCCAACCCCTGCGCAAACGCGGGGCGCAAATAGTTTAGGACACTTCATAAGGGGGGCGATGACGGAGCGAGGGTTACATGTGTCTGCAGACCCTACAGGGGGATTTTCGACGAAACATAAAAAATACCCAAGAAGAATCAAACAATATTACAACACAAATAGTGTGGGGACTCTTTTTTGAGTATTGTTTTACCTTCTTGGGGTATTTTTGGGGTACTTGTCATCCTTCGTCGAAAATCCCCCTGTAGGGGGACACGCCCGACATAATCCCAGACGCTCACCTCCTGGCCAACCTTCGCGTGCGCCTCTGCTGCGGCGTCTGCGCCCTGGGCGCGCGCTGCCGGCACCGCAGGCAAAAAGAGGTCCACCGTGCGGTGAGAGACACGGGGCGCCAAGGGCGGGCACGCCCGGAAGTGCGGGTGCGGGGACACCGAGGACTGCAGACACGATGCCCTGCGCGGCTGGAACGCGCCGTGGCGCTACGCGTAAGTCGGGCGTGTCCCCCTACAGGGGGATTTTCGACGAAAAACCAAGAATACTCAAAAAATACTCCCAAATGGTCAAACAATACTCAGAAAATTAGTCCCCAGACTATTTTTATACTATTTTTGAGTATTCCCCCTGTAGAGGGACAGGCCCGACTTAACGCTACGCCCATACTGGCCACCGGGCCACGACCGAGCAGCGCGTCCCTGCTTGGGACCGCCACCGCCCCTACAGCGGACGCTCGATGAGGGTGCAGGGGCCTTGGAAGGCCATGTCGACACTTTGCGAGCGGGGCGCGGCCGACGAGAGTAGCCAAGGATGGACCGAGTGGACCGAGGATGCAAGCATGCAAGGGCCAACTTGGGAAGGTTGCCCATCCTTACCATGCGGGTTGACTGCACAATAGCGCGTGGGAAGAAGCCATCCTCGACGTCGCCACTCGCGACCCCAGCACCAGGGCTGAACCTGAACGGTGTTTTTCGTTTCCGTTTTGTGTTCGGTTTCACTCGTTTTGTCTTCAATCCGCCATTGCCGCAAGACGAAGTCGAAACGAAAACCGCCCACGAAATCGCCAAAACACCGTTTAGGCCCAGCCCTGCCCAGTACCCGCGGCCTCACCTAAGTTGACGGCCTTGTCACCTGCGAACCCAGCGACAGCAACGCTCGCAGGCAGGCCAGGGTTCCCGCAAACAGGGCGGTGGCTGCCCTGGGGATCGACGAGAAGCGAGCGCGGCACCCTCCGCCCACAGGGGAGACGATCCTGGCCGGCTTGGAGTCAGGAGGCCGACCAGCCGACGAGCTGGTCGCCAGCGTCCATTCTTGTGGCCAGGACTTGCAGGAAGCCGAGCGGTCGGGCGTGACTTCCACCACCTGGAAGCAATCCAGAGTTGCTGGGCCTTCGGAAGCGCGGAGACGCTGCGCAGCGCGGCGTGAGCAGCCAAGCCGCCCACCGACCACCAGGACGACGACCAACAACAACAACACGACCACTACCAGCTTCGGCGCGACCAACGCCACCAACACGACGACCACATACATGGCCACCACCACGACCCTTGCGGCACCACGACGGCCACCACTACGACGACCACAACGACAACCACCACGCCAGCCACGACTACCACCACGACTGAGTATCGTTTAACCGATCCCCATCCCCAGCGGCGTGGCCTGGGCCCCATTGGCCGTTTTGCCCCCCTAGATGGGGATATAGGTCGTTCCCTTCGGGTTTCGAAGGGTGCATTCCCAACTGGGGTGGTAATTTGGCGGGTGTCTCGAAGGGGGGTGGGGATGGGGATGGGGATCGGTTGAACGATACCGAACGACCACCACTGCCACGACCACTACGACCACCACGGCCACCACCACGACCACCACCACGACCACCACCACGACCACCATCACGAACACCACGACCACCCCCGCCCCCGATCACCACCCCCTTGTGCCCTCCCTGTCCCCTGCCGGGCCGCCCCTGCCGCAGCCGCGCGCCCCGCGCCTCGCCCCCTCGCCCCCTCGTCCTCCTCCTCCTCCTCCTCCTCCTCCTCCTCCTCCTCCTCCTCCTCCTGAGCCTTCCTTGTTTTCCGCTTCAATGGGGGAGGGGGCCTCGCCTGAGGCGGGTGCCTTGTCGGCAAGTGTGTGCACGAGTGTTGTGCGCAGAGCGGTGCTCTCTTGGTGAGCCCCCTGCACAGGGCTTCTGTGGGTTGTCACGCACTGTTCCGAGGCCCCCATTCGGCGGCCCAGTAAGAGTGTGAGATCGTGGCGCCCTAGTTACGGGGCGTGAAAACGACCACAGCCACTGCTTTCTTTCGTTGCCGCCTTCCAGCCCGCAGAAACAAAGCAGTGGTTGTGGTCATTTTCGTTGAGCTTGGCACCAGGGAAATGACCGCAACCACTGCTTCTTTTTCGGCCGGCTGGAAGGCGGCGCAGATAAAAGAAGCAGTGGCTGTGGTCATTTTCCCGTCCCGCACTAGTGGAAGAACGAGCGCTGGAGCGACGAGCAGGGCAATGCAGGCGATGAACATGCATTGGCAGCCCTTGACGCGAACGGCCTGGTCCAAGAAGACACCGTTGGCCGTCGGGGCGGCACGGCGGCTTCGTGGATGACCGGGGATCAGCGCGAAGAGCTGGAGGGATCCCGAGAGGATGATGGGGAAGAAGCCCATGAAGCGGTACTCCAGATTTCGTAATAAAAGGGAGGGGGTCTGGACCCTCCAAGACAAGCCATTTCAGACCTCCCCCGTGGGAGAACCCTCCAAAACATCGTCCCCAGACCCCCCAGGCCCTCCAAGATAGCCTGGAAGAGACCCCCCCCCGAAATGAGACCCCCCTCCCTTTATTACGAAATCTGGAGTAGCGTTTGTTCTCGCAAGTCCGGCTGGCCGCCGCAGCAGCACGGCGGCCTAGCAGGGGGACGTCTGGGGCGAGTGGAGCCGGCAGTTCAGCACGCAGCGCGCGAAGGTCACTCAAGTAGGTGAGGGACGTCAACCCGCAGCCTGGGCAGTGGGTCTTCACGCCCAAGGACAGCGGCCCGAAGAGTTTGAACCTCGTCACGGAAACTGCGAAAGCCGTCGTGGACATCTTCGCAGGCGCGCGCGGCTCGAAAACCGCGCTGATCGTGCACTGGCGGTTCAGGCAGGACATGTCGGCCTCGGACGGGCACGCACAGCGTGTGGTCCCCGACACGGACGACGCAGTCGGATGGCAGCTGCGGTGGGGGGGCGCGACGGTTTCTCATGCTAGTGCAACTGCCCGTCGCAGTCGGTTCCGTCGAGCAGCTGACGCAGCAGGCCACGCCGTGGTCGCCGCCCGATGCGTGCGTGCCGGGGCGGCGGCGCGGGACACGGCGGCGCGGGAAGCGGGAGGAGGGTGTCTGAGCGGCGCAGATCAATCGCGTCCTGGGGAGGGGCGTATCCAGCCTGCCCGTGCGGGTTTGGGGGGGGAACCGTTGGGGGGTATGCACCAGCGGCCACGCTCGCTCCTGCGGGGGTTCGGGCCCAGGCTATCTATAGAGATATGTAGAGAGAGAGAGAGAGAGAAAAAGATATATAAAAAGAGAGAGAGAGAGAGCAAAAACAAAAAAAGGAGGGAGAGAAAGACAGGAGGGAGAGACAGTATACTGTCGCCCCGAGGCGACCCAAGAAGGGCGGCTGGCGCGATAAGCCCCGCTGGCCTCCAGGGAAAGCCCTTCAACCAGCAAGAGCCTTTCGGGCAGTCAACTTGCAGGCCAGGACGGCAACAGACGAGCTCGCAGGGCAAGGAGGAGAGGAGGAGGGGGAGGAGGAAGAGGAGGGGGGAGGGGGGAGGGGGGAGGGAGGAGGGAGGAGGATTTTTGGATTGCGCATCTGATTCGCCTGGTGACGGTCAGAGAAAAAGCGGCGCTGCAACTAGCAGACTTAAATGAGCTGCACGGGCACCAAGTAAACAAGTACAAGGGAGGAGGGAGGAGGGAGGAGGGAGGAGGGAGGAGGGAGGAGGGAGGAGGGAGGAGGGAGGAGGAGGAGGAGGAGGAGGAGGAGGAGGAGGTCCGTCCGCACCCAAAGGGGGGATCCACTCAGCCACCGCACATGAGGCGCCTTGGGACGCGGGGAGGTCCATGGAGATTTCGTGGGCTCCTGGAGGCAAGCCTGCCTTCCTGCCTGCCGAGTCGCCTGCCCAAGCACCAGACGACTGTGCCTTCAACACCTCCCCCCCCAAGACGACGCGAACACAGACAGGGGAGGGGGAGCGCAGCCCGATGTGCCCCCCTGAAGCCAGAGAGGCAACCAGGGGGTCCAGGTCGTGTATCGACGCACACGCCAGAGCTTGAGGCCGAGCGGACAGGCGGGGCTGGGGCATGGAGGGGGAGGGAGGGGGAGAGGGGGGAACAGTGAGGGAGGGAGGGGGAGGGAGGGGGGAGAGCGAGGAGGGGAGGGGGTGGATGTCGGCGGGCGAGGGAAGGGGGGGGGGTCATTCCGAGAAGGGCGGGGGGGGCTTCCTCACACGCGGTCGGCCTTTTGCAGAGAGAGTGCGCCGCACGCCCTCCGAGCAGCGGGCGGCCCTCTTGCACAGCCGCCCCCCCCGACGCGGCCTCTGTGGAGGTCGCACGAGGAATCCGAAGGCCCAGAGATAGCTGGAAAGAAGAAGAAGAACAAAATAAAAAAAAAAACACTTCGAATCGCAATCCTCGAGGAGAGAGGGGAGGAGAAGAGAGGGGAGGGAAGGGGGCAGGAGGGGGGAGGGGAGGGGGAGGGGGGAGGGAGGGGAGGAAGGAAGGGAATGGAGAGGGGAGGAGGGGGAGGGGAGGGGAGGGGGAGGGGGGGGGGGGGGGGGGGCGGGGAGGGGGAGGAGGGGGGAGGGGGAGGGGAAGGGGGAGGGGGAAGCGGAGAGGGAGGGGACAGGAGGAGGGAGGGGAGGGGGAGGGGGAGGGGGAGGGAAGGGGAGGGAAGGGGGGAAGATTGCCCCTCTCGACGTCCAGTCGTCCTCGACGCCAGCTGGGCGGCGCGCACTGCCCCCAAGGGCGGGGGAGGC